AATATTGTAGCACATAGAGCAGTTGCTGGGTAGTGGCCTCAAGGCGGGCAACATTCACTGCCAGGAAGCAGGTTTTTAACAAGCAACAGTTGAACTACAACAGTGAAAGAACTGTTGGAAATGATGACAGCTGAGATACAGTTAGTTGAAAGTCAGTGTGTAAAGAGAAGACTAGGAGGTTGGTGTGAAATGGTCGCCAGCCTCGGAGTGAGTCAGTTGAAGCACTGACAGAATTGTAAGGGTGTCTGTGTTGAGAAGGCTTAGTCGATGCTGTTAGCATAGAAGCTGGCTGTGCCATAGCTCAGGTAATTAGTCACCAGTTTCCCAACACAGCAGCCAAGGTTTTAGCCCAGGTCAGGTCATGTGGGATTTGTGGCAGAAAAAAGTAGCAAGGGGGCAGGTTTCCTCCGAGTACTTTGGGTTTCCCCTGCCAATTATATTTCCACTGACTGCTCCACATTCATCATCATCTATCATCCGGGGCTGGTACAATAGGAAAATTAGTGGCACATGTACCAAGTGGGCACAGTCTCACCATAAAAAAAAGAGTATCCTGTGTTGCAGTCATCAACACAACAAAAAAACGGGAATATCTTCAATAAAGACAACAGATGGTGTACATCTTACTTATATAATGTAAGTGTAAACTTTGCTACACATTTTGACCTATAGTTTAGGTCACCATCAGGCACCTCTTTTATGATCTATAACTCAAGTTTTTAAAATTAATAGTCATGATATCAATATTTATGCAACAGATGTCTGTTGGTGCAAGTGACTATATATTTATAAGGTTAGCATAGATCTACATTTTAATATTCTAATAAAATTCATTACTAAAAGTTAAGAATTTAAAGAACATAAAAGCATAAAAACGTAAAAATATAAAAGTATAGATTCCACAATATATTTGAATATTGGATAGTTGTTGTGAAGAACATAAAGGTATAACAATTTAAAAATATAAAAGTATAAAAGTATAGTTTCCACAATATATTTGAATGTTGGCTAGTTGTCGTGCAAAACCCTCCACAGTTGTGTGCCGATGTGCTGGAGGGGAAGTGGGGTTTTCATATTGTTTCCTGCCTGCTGTCTTGTGGCTCTTGTTTACTAATTTTCTTGTGAATAATCTAATCATAATTTCTTGTTTCTTCCTATGGTTATGTTGGACTGACATTGAAGTTTGGGTGTTTGAAATGATGGTCCTAATGTTGCCCCTTGTTGATGTGGTTTATTTGTGTAGGTGCACAAACTATTTTTATTTGTGTCGTTGGCAGCTATAGCAAGGATAAAATATTATACACACAACAGGATGCAATCTATAAAGTTAAAAAAAACTAGCATAAAAGCTGAAGAATTTCCACTGTCAGAAGCATTACCAGGAAGTGACTAATGGAGACTGTTAACACACTGAGAACACTAGTCTGTGTGTGAGAGTGATTTGTGAAGTCTCATAACAAGTTGTGTAAGTGGTCAATAAATCCAAAATTCAATCCAAATCCTCCCATCCAGAGTCACTCATACACGTGAAAATATGTATGAAGTAATCATATTGTGGCATGCAGACCTATTGCTAGGGAACGACCACGAGATAAGCATATATACAACAACAACAGCCGCTGCTAAGTAATGGTCTATGAACTGCATCAGAGGAATGGTGTTTTCCATGCAGTGTGTGCTGAGATGTTATAAGCAGAACAGTTAGTGAGTTCAGTTGAGTTGAGTGAAGTGGAGAGTAGATGGTTGGTGAGTAAGTTAGAGGACTGCTGAGGTTCAGCTGTTGTGAGCTGTTACTGTGAGAAGCTGGTAGCTGAGACCAGGGATAGTTTGGGAACTCAGAGGAAGAACATCCACCATTGGAAGCTGCTAATGAACAATGGCTAGGGATGGCTGAGAAGACTCTGTGTGTGCTGTGGTTACAGTGATCCTTGAAGTGTGTAACTCAGACTGTCATAATTACTTGTAGTCATGGATCTGTAGGAGTTCAGTAAATCCAATTACCAATCCATAAACTGTATACAGGATGATTCATGAAGTTTTACCCCGGCTTATGGTACATATACCTGGGGTTATTTCCTGCAAAATTCCCTTATAAACGTGTGGCGGACTTTCAATGGTTATGGAGTAACAATTGTGAATGCAGCGCTATCCCCCCCCCCCGTTAGATTATTGCATTTGGGGCTTGATGAAGGACATTGTGTACAAGGTAGAGGTACAAACACATGAAGCGTTGCTTGAACTTATTCTGGATGTGGCGATGACAATAAGGAACAAACGTGTGGAACTGCGAAATGCTACGAGCGTGTTTCATATGCGTGTGACACGTTGTGTTGACGTGCATGGAGACATTTTTGAAAATCTTATGTAAATCCAGTCGTCTTCTAAAGCACTTCAGTTTAAAGGAAACAGATTGATAGAAGGGTGTGATATGCAACCAGTGGTATGTTTACAGAATGGGATGCTGAAAATAATGTAATTTTGTAACATAAAATCGATGAAAAATGTTGCACAATGCAAAATTAAGAAATTGAAAAAAAAAATGGTTTTGGAATGCTTCTTTCCTAAAACATCAATGTTGAGGATCAAATTTGGGATTGAAAATTTAAGTCATTACCTAGGTGCCTGGAGACTTGCGAAAAGTGTTTTGCAGTGAAAGAGCAAAGATGACAACACATGGACACGCAATGAGGTTAAGAATGCGATAATCAGCATTCATGCGTAATACCGTATGCAAGACGCTCCGCTAACTAGGCCACTGGAG